AGTCTGATGGGATTGTATAAAAGTACAATTGAACACTTGGACAGGAATTGGCAAACATTTTTAGCATGGACGCCAAGAATTAACAACAATGCTCTCAATTTTTTAAGCATAGTTTGGGGAAGTGCTGATACCAATATAAACTGATAAAAAAACGTTGATTGGACAATTAAAATATTTATTAAGTTAAAATTTTTCATTGGATATAGATTTTCCCATAAGCCCACATCCATCATGGCTGCATGCTTAGGACGGTATATAACTTGTGAGAATAGTGTTAACAATCGCTTACGAGTAAATGTTTTGTTAATTATAATAATTTTAAACACTGTTTCTGTAGCATTGGTGAGTTTTAATTTTACGATATATTAATTTACCCTGAAATGTAATATTGTTTAGGCTAACTGGTGATGTTCAGTTTCGTACCAGAATATATGACGACGATACGGTGATAATAATGTCTAACTCTCACTGTTCAATAACTGAACCGGTAATGAAACTTAAGGTTAAAAATATTACGAACAAGGCTCTACAGGCTAACCTGATACTACATCAATTCACACTTTGAAAAGCCATTTCGTAAATGTTTATAATAATATTTTGCACATAACACAAAAATGAATGTGCAGTAGTTTTATACTTTATTACACTTGCAGTAAAACTTCGATTAATGGGCACCGAGCTATTAAGGGCAGACCTTTTCAGTCTTTTTCTATTTTCTACTATTTCTAACCAAAATAAATGTTGTGATAACAGACACCCAGATATTCCAGATTAAGGGCAGTATCTTTAGTCTAATTCTCGATATGGGCACTCAATAAAGTGGGCAGTTATCTCTGTATGCCTATACTGTCAATATACGGTAAACCACTAAATTCCAAATGTCCCAGAAGGATGACCAGTATTCAAACACTTGCAATGTTTATTGGATCAGCTCCTAACCACATACTGTGATAAACGTTTTTACAGATTCAAAGTGCAATCTTATTACTCTGGGAAATTCTCATTGTAAACACTTTAGGATACATAAGCTGATAAATTCCAAAATGTTTTCTCAGAGCAAGAGTCAAGTTGGCTTATCTCTGTACGCATACTTTGTTGCTCTCAAAAGTATCGTATTGCGATGACATGTAAACAGTCTAATAACATTAATGATGGTATGTTGCTTTATTTTCAGTGGTTTTCTACTTCAGTCGTTGACAGTAAAATAAACACAGAAAATAAATGTGAAATGTTTAGCAATTCAAACTCTGAAGAGAAGTCCTTTGAAACTTTGTGACCAATAATAAAGAAAAAAGGGCACAGCTAATCCACCCCCTGAGACCTTCCGTTGATAATGCTCCATGTCATAGCAATGTGCAACTCATAAACTCCTGTGTTCTGCATACACCAAACAAAATAGGGGGTCTTAAAATTTAGTACAGTCAGAATGGAATCCAACTTTGCATGGCTTATTCTTTATATTAAGGGCATTTGGATGCAGTCAGAAGGGTGCCCTTAATGTTAAGGTTCTACTGTATTTATACTTGACTGGAGAAAAGCGAGAAGAATTTGATATTGTGCAGCTGATAGATAAGACTCGGAAATCATAGATGCAATACTCTGTTTGTAGTAGTAAAGCCAATAGGGTTTTAGAATATACTTAAGTTATAGACAGTATTTATTCTGGGAAAATAATGTTCTGGAACTCTCCTATTTTTTTACAAACTTTTTCTAGTTCTTACTACATCCCACCCCATGACCATCCCAATTGGATAATCATTCTCACCCCTAGTTGGCAGTAACAAGTTTGATGACATGAGTACTGTTTCATCAGTTACAATAAGTTACATAAATATTTTAATCTTATCAGAAGAAAACATTTTTGTGTAATATCTTATTTATTGTTGCTGCCCATTCATTAAAAGGTACCATTCCAACATGTTCCACCAGAAAAAAAACTGCTTATAGACATGTTGATTACAAGTCAAAAAGAGGTAATTTTCTCTTTAGAAAAGAAGGGATTGTGATACCATCAGTTGTAGTAGTAGAGTCTACACTTTAAAAGAGTTTGATGGATGAACCAATGATTTCTTTAAAAGTAAAGTGTGGGTTAAATTCTTTATTTTTTTTTGGTTGTGAGTGTCCAGGAAGAGTCTTGAAGGATTAGATTGTATCATGTTGTCCATATATTATCAAGTTAGTCCTTGATTTATACATAAGAACATAACACTGAGAACATCTTGCTTTCTCTGGTGGGAGGATCATTAGTTGTGTATTAATGTGATTGATCAGGATGTTAAGAAATCTGGCCTAGTTTTTAATCCTTGGTTCATGCATATGCATTGTTCTGAGATGAGTGTTCTACTTAAGTTAAGACTCAAGTGAAAAACTAAATATTACTGCAATAAGTATTTGTAATCAAATTTATGAAATGGTTCATTTTTTACAATTAGTTTTTATCTACTATTGCTTTAAAAAATAACTGGTTATTTCTTCCTTTTTTTTCAGGGTCAAGATGGAGATGGTCAGCTAGTACTATACATGGATCACTCTTTAGATCAAGGTAGGATAATTTCTATAAGCTTGAATATGTTGTACAGTATGCGTATAAGACCACATTGTTTATGGACAAACATCTAGACCAAAGTTGACCTTTTTTTTTATAATATACAAGTTACATATCCTCATGATGCCCCATTGTATATAGTGTTATTTTCTGACATGGATGTTTATCTGTAACTTGTTATAAAAAAAGAAAAGCTATAGAATTAAAAAAAAAATATTAGGCTTTTGGTCATGTTAGTAATTGTATTTACACTAGAGTTTTAAAAGAGGTAATCAACCAGATTTATGACCTGTTTGTTTTCATTTTTGGGTGGTTTTTGGATAGAAGATAGGTGAAGATTGGAAGGAGAAGATAAGAATTGTCCAGGGAATTTTAGACCAATTAGTTTAGCCATTCTTAAGTGGTAATTCTTCAGAAAGTGATAAAAAGTGCTTTGCAGGATTATTTAATGGGAAATTAATTTTGGCAGCCAGCCATCAAAGGAAAGAGCCTGCCTTACTAACCTGTTAACTTTTCTTGGGGATGTTCTTTATTCTGAATGAAGGTAAAGAGTATATTTGGTTTACTTTAATTTTTAGAAAATTTTTGATAATATAGTTGTGAAAAAATTACCTCAGATGATAAATTAGTTTAATGGACTAAAAATTAGTCAGGTTGGAGGAAACAAAGTTATTAATGTAGTTCAGTTTCAGAGGTGCATCCACGGACTGTTACTATTCCTCAGTTACATCAATGACATTGATGAAGGTAGCGTGCTTGGGAAATTTTTAAGTTTGTTGTTGGCATAAAAATCTTGTGATTTGTTGGATGTAATGAGGATGGTACTAACATCTTGGGTTGATTAGTTAGACAATTACATGGCAGATGGTAATCAATTACATAAAGTGTAAAGGTATCATGCATGTGGGTTATTATGATATAAGGTACAAACACAATTTAGCTGAAAATCCTATTAATTACAGTATGTGAATGAGGAAAATTATTTTTGTATTTATTCTCAAAGTCTCTCTGACTTTGTTATTGGTATCTTGGAGGTTGATTTTACCCCTCTACCTTCTTAATTCTTGAGTCGTGTTAGAGTTTTAAGATAAATAATGACCATAGTGTTTCTAACCATCTTAATTCAATATTATGTAACACAGCCAGCCTGGTAAGTGTCAGTATTGAATAAAAATCCTTATTCTCTGCAGCCTACATGTATGCATTTTTAGTGGAAATTCATTGAGTTATATGCTTTTTTAATATCTAGTCTTATTTTGTTATTTCAGCTTTTTTATTGTTTATCCCCCAAACAAATGGTTCTTAATAAGATAGATACGAGTAGAGAGAATGATAGACAGTTCGATGCTATTATAGCGTGCGGTCCACAAAGATATTTACACTATAGCGAGCGGTCCACAAAGATATTTACACTATAGCGTGCGGTCCACAAACATATTTACACTATAGCGTGTGGTCCACAAAGATATTTACACTATAGCGTGTGGTCCACAAAGATATTTACACTATAGCATGTGATCCACAAAGATATTTACACTATAGTGTGCGGTCCACAAAGATATTTACAGTATAGCTTGCGGTCTACAAAGATATTTACATTACAGCTTGTGGTCTATGCAGGTACTGTCATCATCACCATTTTAACTTTTGTTTATTTGCAGTTGGCACCATTTATTATAAATAGTGCTTTTAAACTAATAAAGTACAAAAACCATTACATAATGTTTTTGGGGCAAATATAATCGGAATGAAATAAATTCTAACAATCAAAACTAACACAATTATAACCTAAATTTAAGGTACTCTATTGGAACACACAACTTGTTTAATTATTATTATTTGCTGAACAAAAATGTGGATAGATATAAGTTATTTAGTAAGAAGTTATGTTTTAATGAATCATTAAAATGGTGATGATGATGATACTATCTGTGTAGACTGCACGCTGTAGTGTAAATATCTTTGTAAACCACATGCTGTAGTAGCACCATCAGTTCTTTATGGCTATGTTTATACATTCATTTGATTACAGTATTTAGGCTTATGTTTATAAAATTGAGGAGGGCTACCATGCTGGAATTTCCTTTCCCTTTTCTAACTTAGAAGCATCATTGCCAACCCTGAATACCAATCTTCTTTCAGAAGTGCATGTTAAATTTGTGTTTCATATTTGAAAATGTCTCACCAAAGAGTACTCAAGTTACTGCATTGTTTTGTTATCAAAGAATTGGGTGATTTGCAACTGGAAGTATTGTATGAGTAATCTTTCATATATAAAAGAATTATTTTATATAAGCTAAATAGTATTTAGTTTTTTAAAGTTTTGTGTTTTCCATTTCAAAAGAAAAATGCCTGTTTTTATTTCTTCTTATCTTTAGATGTTTTGTAATGATTTCAGTAGTTGTGCAGTATGTAAAGGGTTGTATATGCTTTACCCACTTAAACTTATAAAACATTTTCTAATGCACTTTTTTACAACTTCTGTCTCCAAAGAGATTATGAGCTAACCTTTAATATATTGACCATCAGCATTGATAAAATCCTCCAAACTTAATACTTAAATGTAGAATGAGTCATATAAAAACTTAGTGATGTTATTTATAACATATGTTCATGAATACGTTTTTAGGGGCTACTGCAGAATTTACTTCTAGAGGTGTTATTACGGTTCATTCCTTGAGAAGTGGAGAAGTCTCTTGGAACCAAGAAAATGCAGTTGATTCTTTGTTTGTTGAACAGTTAAAGGTAATGTATTTGTATAGCTAACAACAAAATCACTGAACTTGCCATAATACGTTATATTTTTCTACCCTTAGAACATATTTCATGAGGACTTGTGTGTGATTCATTTTGAAATTTAAATAAAGAATATTTTGAATAGCATAGCATTGCTTGTTTTTTAGTACTCCAAAAAGGGAACATTTTAGCTTTAAATTAACTAATAAACTTAGGCTTGATGTATTTATGTACTTCTCATTAAATTTTCACTGCCCCGGCATAGCCAGGTGGTTAGGGCACTTGACTTCCAATCTGAGGTTCGAATCCACATGCTCGCCTTTTCAACCATGGAGGTGTTATAATGTGATGGTCAATCCAACTATTGTTGGTAAATGAGTAGTCCAAGAGTTGGCAGTGGGTGGTGATGACTAGCTGCCTTTCCTCTAGTCTTTCACTGCTAAATTAGGGGTGGCTAGCGCAGATAGTTCTCGTGTAGCTTTGCACGAAATTCAAAACAAACCAAACCATTATCGTCCCCAACCTATTTATATTCTGACAGTTGCAGCACATAACCAAGGGTGTAAAAAATTCCCTAGTCCAGCATTCAGGGCTACCAAATTTTGAGTTTGGGCTACCATGAATTGTATGTATACCAGCCTTTGGCTAATGACATTCTGTTCGTGTGAGTGCGTGTAAAATACAATACTATTTTTTTCCTTTTAGATTATTAAAGGTCTACTGTTACTGAAAGTTATGTAAGACAGGCAGCTTTTTATTATCTTATCAATTTTTATTATCCTGATATAAAAACAAGTGTATGACTCATTTATCAACTTCTATATTAAGATAGCAATTGTTCAGTTATGTGTTTATAATGCTTTTTAATCTAAGTTATTATTTTTTGTGGAATTAGAATAGGTGTTAATGCAGTGTTTTATTGATATAAGATGAAATGACAGTGTTTGCACTAAATGACTTGGACCACACACACTTAGAATTTCAAGGAATTTGCCTTTTTCTTAGGTACAATAAAAAAAGGCTTGGGTGTTCTGAATGCTGGAAGGATGTGTTGTTGTTTTGATTTTGTCATAGGTGTAGGCTGGATAACCTGTCCAAAAAATTTTGTATAATTTTATTTGATCTTTGTCTAGTTTCTATGTAATACAGTATCTATTGCCTGATAAAGGACTTTTGTCTGAAACCTTGTACAAAATAAAACTAAATAAAATTTTGATTTAGACATGTTAATTTGTCCTTTATTTCTTATAATAAATTTTTTGTAAGAATAATCTTCTGCTGTGTTTTAAGTATGTTGAATGTGCCCCACACAATTGAGGTTTGAGGATTTTGTGAACCTTTGCCTTGAAGATCATATCCAAATCACTTACTGGTAGACTTAAATGATGATTTGTCTGGTAAAAGAGTTTTGAAATCCCTTATTCACTAATGTTACCCAAATATGTAAATATTTGTATATCCATCTGAAGCTATCAATATATTCTAATGTGGGAACACTGAAGATTATCACTGTTTTTTCCACCCAAGCGAGCATGCTGTAAGTGTTGTGCACATCAGGTTAAAGTATACTTAATGCCTTTTTTGTAACTAATGCATAAAATCTTCTAAATGTGTTTTGTTTCAAGTTATAAAAGGATGTTAATTGAGAAGTTGCAAACTAAGGCCATCATTAAAATTATATCAATAACTAATCTCAGAATGTGAAAGAAAAGCCAAAAGATGTTATATATCCCCACATGAGAACTTTGGCAGGAAAAAGGTTAAACGTGTTTTGGGTCTAAGAGGCATTCTAGGCATTTTTATTTAAGTAACCTATAAAAAACAAAAACATTTCAAACAAAGTTTTTCTTTGACAGAAGAACACAAAGTTTAGTTGAAACAAACTATGCTGCTTTATAGGGTATATTTTACAACAAGTTAAGAACACAAAGTTTAGTTGAAACAAACTATGCTGCTTTATAGGGTATATTTTACAACAAGTTAAGAACACAAAGTTTAGTTGAAACAAACTATGCTGCTTTATAGGGTATATTTTACAACAAGTTAAGAACACAAAGTTTAGTTGAAACGAACTATGCTGCTTTATAGGGTATATTTTACAACAAGTTAAGAACACAAAGTTTAGTTGAAACAAATTATGCTGCTTTATAGGGTATATTTTACAACAAGTTAAAACACGTTCGTTGGATCTGAATATTTGGTATTTTGTGCATTATTTTCTTATAAACTTATTTTCACATGCACACATAAAAACTCCTTGGTTTGTTTGCCTGACCTAAACAAATTTGAAAAGAAACCATTCTTTGTAAATTTTATCGTCACTGCCATTCAAGAGTCTTTATATTTAACACATTCTTTTATACTAAAGTTGTAATATCATAAATAAGATTTAACACATATTTAGCTTCGTTTTCACAAATATTGTAGATATTAATATTTAGTATTGATTTCAGTAAAATACTTTGACCTACATTTTTTCTTTACTTGGAAGTTTACCAATGAAATAAAAAATACTTAAAATTGCATCTGGATTTCTTTGATTTGATCAGTCATTTACAATGCTGACTGTTATTGTAAACACTGATGGTGGATCTCCAATAACAATGCATGAACATTTTGCTTTTGATTTGAAGTTCCGTAAGTTTTTTTTTTGTTCCCTGCAATATCTTGTTTATCATGCTGTCCTGTTAATAACCTGAACAAATTTTTAATTTGATCTTGTGGAAATTACAAGGTACCTTCAACAAAAGTAATTTTCAGTACATGTTATTGGTAGCTTTGAGAAAATCTCACACACACAAGCTACTTTAGAATTTGATCTAGTTTCATTTGATAATCTTGAATATTTTACACTAGTTCTTACCATGTGAAAATTCTTAAATGAAATTACCTAAAGTTTTCCCTACAATTAAGAAATGTAATGAAATTATACAGAAATAAATATGTATATAAACAGAATAGTGGAATTTTTAAAAAATAAATATATGTATGTAAACAAAATGGTTTATATGTTTGTTGTTTTCAAGAATTTGTAGTACATACTGGAGGGATTTAGACATTTTTGTTTATAAAAGTTATAATTTTTTGTTTTGCACAAGCCCTAATGAAATTGCAATGACACAGTAAAGGTTGTTTTTAAATTATCTGTAGAGTACCAACCACTTTTTTATTAAGTTTTATTATCAAGGATGGTGTGAGAGTTGGCTACGAGTACAGTTTTTGAAGTATATTTCATTAGGTTTAATGTATGGGCTAGCTGTTCTGTAACATTATTGGTTCCATGTGCAGTAAAAGCTTCATTATCCAGCATCTGCTGGACCCGGGCATTGATGGATAGGTGAAAATCTTGTTTATGAAAGTGTTTCCCTTATGATATTTTACTGGAAAAATGTTGACACCTTGTTGATTTTCTAGAGTACAGTGTTTCTACATCATCTATAACAATAATAGTTGTAAACAAGAATAAATGTTGTAAAAAAATGAAAGTTGTATAAAAAGTACAGTAATTTAAATGTGAATCACAGTATAGGTGGCTAACAACTGAAGCTTGCCAATGGAAAAGAACATAAACAAAGCTACAGCAGTACCAGTAAGTTACAATGAGCATTTGTATTTGCAGATATTGAACTTTCCAGTTACAAGAGTTTTTTGGGTATGAAGATGCCAGATAAGAAAGCTTTTACTTTTCCTGGGATTTCCATGTTTATCTAGGAAAATGAAATATGTGTAAAACTGATTTCTGAAGAGCATATTATAATATACAATACAGCAATGTTTTACCATGACTCCTTTCTTGTTAGCTATAATATGTTTTGAATGGTGTGTAGAGGGCAAAATAAATAATTAAAAAAAGGTGAAACTAAAATAGCTGTGCATGTTTATAAACTTGTGATTTAATACTTTTTAACTTTTCCATTTGGTTCTGCATCATAACAATACAACTTCTAGTCAGATAGCAAAAAAAACAAAAACAAACAACTTAAATTAAACATTTATTTTTAAAATAGCAAAAATATTTTACCAGCATATGTGAGAGAAAATAAATTTATATTTATAATTTTTATAGCAAGTATCAAGATCAGGAGGTTATTATCGTTTGAAGCTTTCAACCAAACAAAATGATGACAATTTTGTGCTAACGTTTATGAATGCTGTAAGTATATATCTTTGTGGAATGCTTGTAAATTGTTCACACATCTGTAAGTGGGAATACAATAATGCACTTCTTATTTCATAAAAGATTAAATATAAGTTTTATATAGATGATTATAAAATTAATAACTTGTGGCTATTGACCTTTATATCATTAATTGATATAATTACATAATTTCAGAATCATTTTATATTAAAAAAAAAGATATATATATTTCCATTGCACATCTGATAATGGCTAGAATAAAAGGGGTGGTGGTCATAAATGTAACTTGTGTGAATAACACGTGTCTTCTAGATTCTGTATTGTATTTAGGGTTGTTTTTTATTGACAGTTTCTTTTGCACACATTATAAATACTTTTATGAAAACTTCTGTGTTGTAGTTTATCATTGCTCTGTTCCTGTAATACGGAAGTTTAAACAAGCAGACCAGATTGTCTGTCTTAACTTTTTGATAATCTAATTTCCCACAATTGTTAGTGGTTAGCTTATACAGTGTTTGAGATGTTATATGTTGTTAGGATCATTTCATTTATTTTCTTCACTTTTAAAAAGGCCCAGCATGGCCAGGTAGTTAGGGCACTCAATTCGTAATCTGAGAGTTGTGGGTTCGATACCCGTCCCACCAAACATGCTCACCCATTCAACCATGGGAGTGTTATAATGTGACGGTCAATCCCATTATTCATTGATAAAAGAGTAGCACAAGAGTTGGGGGTGTGTGGTGATGACTATCTTTCTTCCCTCTAGTCTTTCACTGCTAAATTAGGGATGGCTAGTGCAGATAGCCCTCATGTAGCTTTGTACGAAATTCAAAACAAACAAACCAGATCTTTATTCGTAATCAAGTGAGGGCTGGACATGTCCCAGTTGTTAGCATAATGGACTATGGATCTGAGGATTTAGTGTTTGTTACCCATTGCCAAAAAAAAATGGTGTTAGTGCATTATAAAATTTTGAGTGCTAGTCAAGTTCAAGCGTTTGATTAGAGTAGTCCAAGAGTTGGTAGTGGGTGCTGTTTATTAGCTATCTTCTTTATTCTATTAATTCATAATTAGGGTTTGTTAGTACTGATAGCTCTTGTGTAGCTTTGTGTGAATATCCTAAACAAACCATATAATAAATTGGTTTGATAAGAATCTTGTTTAAAATTGTTTTGTTTAGTTGTTGTAAATTTTCCTATAGTAATAGGAATTGAAATGTGTTGAATGACATTACTGTTAGTCTTTTATCCAATCATGAAAAAGGCACTGTATCTATTATTTTGAGTTTGTTAAGCATGGTTATGTTTACTTAATACATGTAAATGTGTATAATTTTTTTTCTCTTTATCTTTTGTTTAGTGTTCCTTGTATGAATCTGCATTATCAGACATTGTCACTGTAACATTTGACCAAGGTGGAGCATTATTAGGTGTTTCAGCAACAACTGTTCCTTCTATTTGTCAAGGAACTGTAATTTCAGACAACAGACTTGCTGGTTTCAACAGCACAGTTTATGTTGTATCTACATACACTGGACCCAGGTAGGATTATATAACTGGAACAAGAGTGGTATAATATCATAACTCATTGGTACATAAAAATAAACAATGTTTTTGCCTTTTCACCCACACAACTGTTTTAATTTTTAGTGTCCAAAATTTAACTTAAGTTTCACTCGTTAAGACTTGAACAGCTTTTTTTTAAACAGATCCTTAATTTTTTATAAAATGTGTTTTTAATAAAATATGTTTGTAATCTTGTGATATTTTACTAAGAGTAAGTGTCACATTGTTTATAATGTCTGGAATGAATTTAATAGATGTTTAAATATAGTCCGTTTATCTCTTTAATTGTAAATCCCTTGTTGTGTGTCAGGTGGAAGAATGGGGTTCACTGTAGAAGTTTTCAGTATTCAGTAAATAATATCTGTGAACAAACATGATCCTTCTCAGTAAAGTTTATCTTGTTTTTCAGTATCATATTAAGTAGAATATAATCTCATTATTGATTAATGTGTATGTTTTGTAATTGGTTTGCTTTTTTTATACATCTGATTGAGGTGTTTAAGATTGTAAAGGAATTGATA